TTACCACACATATTCCAGACTCCCCTTTGAAATGCATCTCATTTGCCCAAGGTTTGATATGGTTTTTAAGCCTTGTTGTGCAGCAGTCTGCAGAATTCTGTGCCGAATTGCCTGGAATCAGGCTGCAATTGAAATCACCCACTTCTCCTTGGGAAAATGAGCTGATGTTTATAGCGGACTCGTACCACTCATATTCCAGACTCCTCTTTGAAATTCATCTCATTTGCCCAAGTTTTGATATGGTTTTTAAGCCTTGTTGTGCAGCAGTCTGCAGAATTCTGTGCCGAATTGCCTGGAATCAGGCTGCAATTGAAATCACCCACTTGTTTTGGGCAAATGAGCTGATTTTTATAGAGGATTCTTACCACACATATTCCAGACTCCCCTTTGAAATGCATCTCATTTGCCCTAGGTTTGATATGGTTTTTAAGCCTTGTTGTGCAGTAGTCTGCAGAATTCTGTGCCGAATTGCCTGGAATCAGGCTGCAATTGAAATCACCCACTTCTTTTGGGCAAATGAGCTGATTTTTATAGGGGATTCTTACCACACATATTCCAGACTCCCCTTTGAAATGCATCTCATTTGCCCAAGGTTTGATATGGTTTCTAAGCCTTGTTGTGCAGCAGTCTGTAGAATTCTTTGCCGAATTGCCTGGAATCAGGCTGCAATTGAAATCACCCACTTCTCCTTGGGCAAATGAGCTGATGTTTATAGGGGACTCGTAACACTCATATTCCAGACTCCCCTTTGAAATTCATCTCATTTGCCCAAGGTTTGATATGGTTTTTAAGCCTTGTTGTGCAGCAGTCTGCAGAATTCTGTGCAGAATTGCCTGGAATCGAGTTGCAATTGAATTCACCCACATTTCCTTAGGCAAATGAGCTAATGTTTATAGGGGACTCTCACCACACACATTCGAGACTCCCCGCTGAAATTCATGTCATTTGCCTAAGTTTTGATATGGTTGTTAAGCCTTGTTGTGCAGCAGTCTACAGAATTCTGTGCAGAATTGGCTGGAATCTGGCTGCGATTGAAGTCACCCACTTCGCCTTGGGAAAATGAGCTGCTTTTTAAAGGGGACTCTCATCACACATATGCCAGACTCCCCTCTGAAATTCACGTCATTTGCCCAAGGTTTGATATGGTTTTTAAGTCTTGTTGTGCAGCAGTCTGCAGAATTCTGTGCCGAATTGCCTGGAATCAGGCTGCAATTGAAATCACCCACTTCGCCTTGGGCAAATGAGCTGATGTTTATAGGGCACTCTCATCACACATTTTCCAGACTTCCCTCTGAAATTAATCTTATTTGCCCAATGTTTGCTATGGTTTTTAAGCCTTGTTGTGCAGCAGTCTGTAGAATTCTGTGCCGAATTGCCTGGAATCAGGTTGCAACTGAAATCACCCACTTATCCTTGGGAAAATGATCTGATGTTTATAGGGGAATCTCATCACACATATTCCAGACTCCCCTATGAAATTCATCTCATTTTCCCAAGGTTTGGTATGGTTTGTAAGCCTTGTTGTGCAGCAGTCTGCAGAATTCTGTGCAGAATTGCCTTGAATCAGGTTGCAATTGAAATCACCCTTTTCTTCTTAGACAAATGAGCTGATGTTTATAGGGGACTCTCATCACACATATTTCAGACTCCGCTCTGAAATTCATGTCATTTGCCCAAGGTTTGATATGGTTTTTAAGCCTTGTTGTGCAGCAATCTGCAGAATTCTGTGCCGAATTGCCTGGAATCAGGCTGCAATTGAAATCACCCACTTCTCCTTGGGCAAATGAGCTGATGTTTATAGGGGACTCGTAACACTCATATTCCAGACTCCCCTTTGAAATTCATCTCATTTGCCTAAGGTTTGATATGGTTTTTAAGCCTTGTTGTGCAGCAGTCTGCAGAATTCTGTGCAGAATTGCCTGGAATCGAGTTGCAATTGAAATCACCCACTTTTCCTTAGGCAAATGAGCTGATTTTTATAGGGGACTCTCACCACACATATTCGAGACTCCCCGCTGAAATTCATGTCATTTGCCTAAGTTTTGATATGGTTGTTAAGCCTTGTTGTGCAGCAGTCTGCAGAATTCTGTGCAGAATTGCCTGGAATCAGGTTGCAACTGAAATCACCCACTTATCCTTAGGCAAATGAGCTGATGTTTATAGGGGACTCGTACCACTCATATTCCAGACTCCCTTTTGAAATTCATCTCATTTTCCCAAGGTTTGATGTGGTTTTTAAGCCTTGTTGTGCAGCAGTCTGCAGAATTCTGTGCAGAATTGCCTGGAATCGAGTTGCAATTGAAATCACCCACGTTTCCTTAGGCAAATGAGCTGATGTTTATAGGGGACTCTCACCACACATATTCCAGACTCCCCTCTGAAATTCATGTCATTTGCCTAAGATTTGATATGGTTTTTAAGCCTTGTTGTGCAGCAGTCTGCAGAATTCTGTGCCGAATTGCCTGGAATCAGGCTGCAATTGAAATCACCCACTTCGCCTTGGGCAAATGAGCTGAGTTTTATAGGGGACTCGTACCATTTATATTCCAGACTCCCCTTTGAAATTCATCTCATTTGCCCAAGGTTTGATATGGTTTTTAAGCCTTGTTGTGCGGCAGTCTGCAGAATTCTGTGCAGAATTGCCTGGAATCCGGTTGCAACTGAAATCACCCACTTATTCTTGGGAAAATGAGCTGATTTTTATAGGGGACTCTCATTACACATATTCCAGACTCCCCTTTGAAGTTCATCTTATTTGCCCAAGGTTTGATATTGTTTTTAAGCCTTGTTGTGCAGCAGTCTGCAGAATTCTGTGCAGAATTGCCTGGAATCAGGTTGCAACAGAAATCACCCACTTAGCCTTGGGCAAATGATCTGATTTTCAAAGGGGACTTTCATCACACATATTCCAGACTCCCCTATGAAATTCACCTCATTTCGTAGAGGTTTGATATGTTTTTCATGCTCTTCTCTGCAGGCGGGAGCAGATCACTTTGTTGAAATGTACAACATTTGTTTTGTATTTAAATGCCATTGTTATACGGGTGCTAATGAGCCCTTATTGATAGGGCACTCATCTCACACTTATAGGATTATCCGTTTTAGAATTGGGTGTGCTAATCATGCAAAGTTCATGCTTGTGTTTGTTTTATGGGTTACAAAAACTAGCACTATATGTGCTACGCGAGTACCCCTATAGCGGTACTGTGGGATGTACACGGTCATTCGGTTTCTGACACGTGTGACAGGTCGCAGAGACTGCTCTATTTCCACGTTGCGAAGGGAACCATGCGGATGGGATAGTTATACGTGGCAGCCTGTCATGAACCTGTCACAGGACACCTTTCTTTTTTTTTAGGGGCTGCCCGTCACCATTTCGTACTAGGTCGAGGCAAAGCTGAGACCATGCAATGCACCGCAGAACATGCAATATGCTTACATGTCATATAAGGTTGGCAATCAACCAACCAGCAACTGAAGTAGAACATTTAGGAGAACAATCTGGCGACAAATAGGCCAATCACTGCAGAAGGATGCAAAGAGTAGTTCGCAGATGTTCGAAGGGAAATGGTGAGAAGCCTAATATTTTGATGTAGGGGGCAGAAAAGTCTTACTACGCCTGGCGTTTGTAGCAAAGCCTTTCCCACCTTCTGTGAGGACGAGAGCACAACCAATTCTACCAGCGAAGCAGAAGTTGTTATCAGGGTGGGTGCACCAAAGCTCAAGGTCATTCTCGCCATTCCAATTTGAGTCTTGGTTCCACAACTAGCCTCCTCACAAGCTTCCCTCTCATTCTAGTGTCGGCCTCAAATCCCGCAGGCGGACAGTGTATGGTAGTATCCGTATAGCTACCTGCCATCTTTTGGCTTACTTACGCGATGTTGTCCCAGTTAATCACAGATGGCTGCGGATTGTCTGCACGACTAGGGCGGGAATCTTATGAAATGTTAATCGCTCGTCAGGAAGAGTGGAACGAGGCGTTGTTACTTTTTGGCCTTGTGTATGTATCCAAGCGCGGTTTGTAATGCACGCCGACTTCATCGGCACGTTAAACCCTTGTATTTTTAGACACGCACCTGCTATCTTCTTACCTCTGCGACATGTCGGCTTGGATGCAGGGAGGTTGCCAAGGACAAGATCGGGGATCCTCGCGTTCGCAGGGACATACAGATTCTGGCTCCTACCGAGCATCGGCGTTTGAGGTCTGCCGTCCCGCGTGTCCCCAGTTGTGGCAGCGAACATCGGTCGATGTTGGACTACCAGATGGTTTTAATACCCATGATATCAGAGTGAGTTTCTTGACATGGATCCGCAACGTCTGTCGATGCCACCAGCTTATCTTGCTAATCCAAGCTTCGATGTACCGCAGAGTCCCTGTTGTTCACTCGACGACGATCAGTCTCATGGTGCTGATGAACCCGCAAGATTTGTTAGCACATCCCCGCGGAAAGTACCGTACGCGTGTGCTACACTTCGACCCTAAATCTCCAATCCCAACCCATCGCCACAGCGACCATGCCAAGGAGGTGTTCGAGTAAGTGTCACTCCTTAATCAGATGTGCGGTTTGTATGGACGCATGTTATTGATTATTTGCGACCCCCTTGCCCTGCAGCTGGCTTATTCGACAACTAGATGTGGAATACAGCCGAGGTCGCAGGGTCTCTGGCAGCCACGCCGAAGCGGTGCAGAAAGATTTGAGGGATCGCCTAGAGGAACTGATTCTGGAGGAAGGCAGGGTAAGGAGCCTCTATTTTTATGATTTAAGCGTTGTATGATATTAAGCTTGTAAAATGTTACGGGAGTGTCTGACAACCACCTTTTCACGCACATGTTGCAGATCAACAAGGTTCAGGGACAGAGGCAAGTGGGTTCCGGGCTGCACGTTACCCATCTGTTCAGCAAGTTGCTGGACAAATGGGGGAATGTCATGGCGATTCAAACTGCAGAGCCGATGATCGCCTTAGGGAAGGGGAAAAACAGCGCGAAAGAAATTCGGAGTATGCTGGAGTCGACCTGCAGGGCCTTCTTCGACCTGCAAGGAGTCCAGCTCCGTCCCGCCCCGGATGCAGTCATGACGACCCATGAGGCTCGAGTGGTGGAGAGCGCACCGGAACGGTCCGAGGATACCATGGAGCCGGCGGCACAGAACAGATCCGAAGCGGTAGAGGGACAGAGAGACGTACCTGCCGCAAACCGGGACGCAAATCCAAGAGTGGGGGAAATTTCATATTCCCGCCGACCTGCACCGGGGGGTGCACTACTGAGTGGCCCGACATCAAGGTCAGCCCGTGCGGACGAGCGTGTTAGGTCTGGAGTTAGGCAGCTCAGGTTTGCTGATCGGGTTAGGAGGCCGCCGGAACGCGAAGCACGGACGGAGACCGACTTGGCAAGTGTAGCAGATGAAGGCGAGGAGGGTGTAGAAGATCCACAGCTGCCAAGTCAGGTCGAACAGGCAGAGGAGCAGTGGAGGAAGGCGGCTGATGATAAGCGGATGGCCGAAGCAGAAGCCAAGAGGAGACGGGCTGAAGAGAGGCAACGGCGCCGTGATGGCGACACCGATCCTATCGTCTCTTTCCCGGGAACAGGAGACATACGTCAAGCATGGGAGCGTGGGGCACGAGCCGCTGCAAGGGCACACGTGGGAGTGGCAGGAGAGGAGCTCGCCAGCAATGTGCGGCAGCATATCGAGGAGGATAGGGGATACGTGAAAGTTCGCTTGCCCAGCGTAAAGCGGAAGGCGGCTGAAGAGGCCCGGAGAGGGGACGTCGACGTGCTAGAGAATTCGGGAGAGGCGAAAAAGAAGGCGCAGAGCAACGCGAGTGCAAAGGCTCATAAGATGGCGGAGGTAGAGGCGCACCAGAAAGCAGAGGATGCGGCCCATCGGTTCGTCGATGCAGAGGCGGCACTTACGGCAGAGGACGGGGCGCCAAAGGAAGCAGAGGCTGCGGCGCAGCAGAAGGTGGGTGCAGAGGCGGTCAAGAGTGCGGAGGCAGTCGTGCGTAAAGAAGCGGGTGCAGCAGCAGAGCTGACGTCGGAGGCAGTCGAGCTGCAGGTGGTGGAGGCACTGGCGCAGAAGGAATCAGAGGCAACGGCGAGCCAGAAGGATGAGGCAGTGGCGCAGCAGAATGATGAGGCAGACGCACATAAGGAATCAGCGGCAGCAGCGCAGCAGAAGGATGAGGGTGCGGCGCCCAGGATGGTTGAGGCAGAGGCGCAGAAGGAATCAGAGGCAGCGGCGCAGCAGAAGGAGGAGGGTGCAGCGCCGAAGATGGTTGAGGCAGAGGCGCAGAAGGAATCAGAGGCAGCGGCGAGCCAGAAGGATAAGGCAGCGGCGCTGCATATGGAGGAGGCAGACGCACATAAGGAATCAGAGGCAGCAACGCAGCAGAAGGATGACAGAGCGGCGCCCAGGATGGTTGAGGCAGAGGCGCACAAGGAATCAGAGGCAGCGGCGCAGTAGAAGGAGGAGGGTGCGGCGCCGAAGATGGTTGAGGCAGAGGTGCAGAAGGAATCAGAGGCAGCGGCGCAGCAGAAGGAGGAGGGTGCGGCGCCGAAGATGGTTGAGGCAGAGGCGCAGAAGGAATCAGAGGCAGCGGCGCAGCAGAAGGAGGAGGGTGCGGCGCCGAAGATGGTTGAGGCAGAGGCGCAGAAGGAATCAGAGGCAGCGGTGAGCCAGAAGGATAAGGCAGTGGCGCTGCATATGGAGGAGGCAGACGCACATAAGGAAGGAGAGGCGCGGAATAAGGCAGAAGCAGCGGCGCGGCAGAAGGCGGAGGCAGAGGAGCAGAAACAGGCTGCGGAAGAGGCATTACAACTGGCTCGGGCAAAAGCGCGGAAGAAGGCTGTTGTAGAGGCGCGGCAGAAGGCGGAGGGTGAGGCGCAGAAGATGGCAGAGGCCGAGGAGCAGAAGCAGGCTGAGGGAGACGCACGTAGGAAGCCAGATGGAGAGGAGGGTTCAGATGGGAATAAAATGATACAGACAGAGGGACGGGAGACGGCGGGTGCTGAGGGGCACATCATCACAGAGGAAGAGGGGCAGCATGACGAGGAGGCAGCGTCGCAGGTATTCGCATACGGAGAGACGCAGAGCATGGCAGAGACAGAGCGTCAAAATACTATGGAGGAGGTTCGTGTGGTCCCGGAGGCTGGAGTGGGGCACTACGAGGGAGATGCGCTGGAAACAGAAGAGGAGCAGGATGAGGAGGATACGGTACATCCGGCAGTCCGGATATTTTTGGGAGGAAGTCCGACGCGGGGACCAGGAACCGGGGTAGAGGGGCCATGGAGAGTGGCAGACGATGGGGCGCCTAGGGATACAGTGGATCTCAACAGGCAGAGGCGGCCTACCCTTCACCAGAGAGCAGAGGAGAGCAATCTCGGCCAAGGCGGGGTGGCAGAAGCGTTTTGGCAGGTAGAGTGGGTCGAGGCAGAGAGGCAATACGGCGGATGCTGCAGCGCACGAGTACAGTCCTGGTCGAACAAGGTGACAGGTTCGTCGAGGCCGAAAGCTGGGACATAAGCCCGGCAGATGTAACGCGTCGTCTGACGCTCTTAGCCCGAATGGTGACGCAGACGTTCTGCAACTTGGCGGCCCGCAACAGCAGCATCAGTTGCGACGTGGCCGATCTGACCGTCCATTACTACCGCGACGCCCTGGCCAACCTGGAAGAAGTCCGCCATGGAAACGAGGAACGGCGGCGCCAAGCTGAAACGGCGGCCAGGTTTCGCGAGCAGGTGGACACGAGACTCTCCAACTTGCGGGAGAGTATCGTAAGGGTGAGTGATCAGGTTCGTCAGTCGGGAGGGGGGATGGCGGAGGGCACGTTAAAGGGGGGGAAGAGAGGTTGAGAGAGGTTCTGAGAGAAGACTCTGAGCGGCGGAACAGAGATAGACTGCAGGACGAGGAGCGGAGGCAGAAGGCCACGAGGAAGGAAGCAGACGCCGCAGAGAGACGGAAGAAGGAAAAACAGCAGGAGGAAGAGCGTCGGCAAAAGGAGATGAGAGAGGGAATGAAGGAGATGAAGGAGGCGATGATGAAGGAGATGAAGGCAGAAATGAAGGAGATGAAGGATGGGATGGTAAACCAGATTGTGAGGAGGCTGAGCGCGGTTTTGCGAGAAGAATCCGAGCGGCAGAAGAAGGCAAGGCAAGAGGACGCGGAGCGGCGACAACAGTAGGACACGAAGAGGAAACAAGTGGCGGACAACGAGGAGAGACAGAAGAAGAAACAACTGGACGAGCAATGGCGGAAGGAGGAGGAGGAGAAGAGGAAGGATGTAGAGGCCACAGAGCGGTGGAGGAAGAAGAAACATCAGGAGGAAGAGCGACGGCAGAAGGAGGTGGAGGCGGGAATGAAGGAAGTGATGGAGGCTGTGAAGGAGATGAAGACGGGGATGAAGGGGTGGAAGGAGGGGATACTAAGTGAGGTGGAAAAGCGGCTGTCAGTAGTTCTGAGATTGGACGCAGAGCGGCGGCAAAAGGAGGAGCAGGGTAGGAAGGCAACGGAGGTAGATCGGCGACAGAAAGAGGATGCGCAGAGGAAGGAGGCTGAGGAGGACGATCGGGAGGAAAGGGAGAAACAATAGGAGAAGGAGCACCAGCAAAATGAGGAGGCGCAGAGGAAGGAGGCAGAGGAAGCAGAGCGGGTGGAGAGGGAGAAACAGCAGGAGATGGCGCACCTGCAGAAGGAGGAGGCGCAGCGGAAAGATGCAGAGGAGGCCGAGAGGCAGGAGAGGGAGAAACAGCAGGAGATGGCGCGCCTGCAGAAGGAGGAGAGGCAGAGGAAGGAGGCAGAGGAGGCAGAGCGGCAGCAGAGGGCGAAACAGCAGGAATTGGACCGCCTGCAGAAGGAGGAGGCGCAGAAGAAGGAGGCAGAGGAGGCCGAGCGGCAGCAGCGGGCGAAACAGCAGGAGATGGAGCGCCTGCAGAAGGAGGAGGCGCAGAAGAAGGGGGCAGAGGAGGCCGAGCGGCGGCAGAGGGCGAAACAGCAGGAGATGGAGCGCCTGCAGAAGGCGGAGCAGTGCCGAGCAGAGAAGAGGGCCAGACTTGCATCCTACGTGGAACAGCAGCGGCAACTAGAGGCAAAGGCAAAGGCGATGGCTGAAGAGACGGAACGATTGGCACGAGAGATGGAAGAGGAGGATTTGGCCATGCAGGGGGAGGGGACCTGGAAGGGAGTCGAGGAGGAAATAGCTGAGGGCCTGGGGAGTTTGCTGTTGATTGAGAGCGGGGAGGCGAATGTAGCAGAGGGCGTGGCTATTGTTCCCGGACAGAATGTAGAGGTGTCCAGGAGGCGGCCTAGACAGGAGGACAGGGAGCCGGAGGGTCATGCGGCTAAGAGACGGCGTGCAGCTGGTATACAGGAGTTGATACCGATAATCCCAGGGGAAAAGAAAGGGATGAAGATCGACAAGTGTGACAACAGGAAAAACGCCGTAGTGGACGACAAGGGTAAGACTTTGGGTGTCTGCCTGCCGTTCAGGGGAAGCGGGTTCTCTCAACGGGGCGAGGGAGCTTTGCAGAAGTGGACGTCTGAGCAGACCGTCGGTGGCCGGAAGCGGAACCTCGGCTCTCACAAAACGGTGTGGGAGAGGGCATACACGGTCGCAGTCTGCTGGAAGTTCTATTTCCCGGATATTGACATGCAGGCATACGGCATGAATCCAAACCGTATTAACAAGTGGCGGGAAGACCTCGACTTCACAACGTGGCTTCCAACAAGGGTGTGGAGCGTCATCAACGAGCTCCACCTGGACAAACCGGACAGGTGAGTGTTTATGTGATGGACAGTTGCAACTTCTAAACACCCGCGAAGTTCGATGGTTCTGATCTTGCGACACTGGTGTCTTGTGCAGATTCTCACTCGTTCAAACCAACACGGCTCTTCGGCAGCAGCAGGGGGATGGCTTTCAGGTAGCTGCCTGCGTTGGTGTCGGAATAACTGCATGGCAGAAGATGGTGGGAGGCGTGGAGGGTGAAAACGGCTATTCGACGGAAGAATACGCAGTCGGACTTGCCGCCACGTTGTCTGTAATGTGGGCCGCATCCACGAATGTGGACCAGACCCAGTGGGAGACGGGCGCAACATCAGCTGCACGTGGAACTTCTACGGCCATGGCATCTTCTGCTGCCAGATCGTCCACTGCTGCCACCGCCTCGTCGGCTGCCTCGTCATCTTCTGCGGCCGATGTGTCCTCTGCCGTCCTCGATGCCCTTGCGACGCTTGCAGCCTCGGTTGCTTGCGTTGCGGTTGAGGCGATGAGGTCGGTCAAGGATCAGGAGCATGACAAGGAAGCGTGGATTCTGCCCCTGTCGGATGCGCTGCTGAAAGCGCTTCCGGCAGAGTCGCGAGCGGCCGGGGATACGAAGCGGATGACGAGGGTGGTGGCAAAGGTGGTGACCTCTTGGTGCCTATGCAGCATGGCATCAAGAGGCCTTCGCCAGCACCAGGGCGTCTGCCTCGGAGTCCTGCAGAAGAAGTTGGGCGGCCGGGACACCACAACAGGGGCGGATAAGGAGAAGAAAACCAAGAAATCGTCCGCGAAGGGGAACGCGACGAAGGATGCGTCGACGGAGGAGAACACCAGCACTGGCGGGCAGGAGTGATAGAGGCAGACGGGTTCTTTGGAGGTCTTGTTAGTGCCGCAATAGAAATAGATTTTCCTTTCCGTGTTTTTTTAACCGTGTATAAATATAGGTGTTGTTGTATACAATACAATGAGAGATGTATTTTTGCTATGCAAACCTTCACTACACTCGCGAAATTTGTAGGGCGCGTATGGAGCTAGCAATGCAGCCGATAGAACTCGCCATCAAAGGGAGGGCCAGCCGAATAAAATAATTGACGGCAGGACGGCCTTCTACGACACTTAATCTACGTTTAATACTCGGCTTCTACGAGGAGGTAGAAGTATGGGGCTAAACAATCGCATAACATCTTGTCTTAGGGAGCACCTTGTTAAGAATCGTATACGGTATTCCTATGCACAGACCTTTCTGCTATGGAGATTGAATTCCTCGACGCCAAATTCTGGAGGCAAATTGGAAACGACACTATACCGCAGAAAAACCCACGTATGGATAATATCTACCGTCATGGATAGGATCTTCGTTGCTACTAGTAGAATATGACACTCCTTTGCCCAGAAACATATGCTGAGATTGAATACATCCACGAAAAAGTCTACCAAGTGGCCTAAGAACACACATCTACAATTATGAGAGTGAATTCATCGACGCCGCTCTATAGAATAACATCGTATACGACATGAGTTCGCAGAATTTCGCCCGGTGTATACCATCGATGTGTGCTTCAATGCATAGACCAGAAAAACATTCTACGAAAAACAGCGCGTCCAGGGAAGAAGGTGGCATACAAGCCCCAAATCGGGCTTCTACAGAGTCAGACAAGTGCCTGTAGTGCATATTCAGTACAACCGGAATAAAGTACCCAAATAACTAAACCGCCCCACCCTAAAGGTACATGCCCCCTCATTTCTGCTCCTAGCGTTTCGACGCTTCGCCCTTCGCCTTTTCCCGTTCCGCCTTCTTCGCCGCAGCGGTTCGTTGTTTCTCCTCTTCCGCCTTCTCCTCCGCCATGTGTTCCTTGTGGATCTCCTCCCCCTCATCATCCCCAAACAGCAAAGTTGCCCACTCCTGGTCGCGAAGGCCCTTCTTGGCTAACAGCCAGCCCACTCTGCGTTGCGCCAAGTCGTTGACGGTCCTCTTTTCCGTCGACGAACCGGTCTTCTGTTTCTTGATGGGCGGAGTCTCATGCAGCACCGCCAGGCCGTTGGTGAATTCCGTGAAGTTGCACACGAGTAAAACCTCGTCCAGCAGCTTAATGGCCGTTGCGGTCGCCGCCTCGGAGCTGTCTTTTCTTAGCGTCTCCACGGAAACCATGACACGATGCACGCGACGCATCTTTCGCTCGCATGCACCCACACCCATCCCGGGCGTACCTTTGTCAGCGAACCGGGAATATGCGGTGATGAAGCTAGAATTCTTGTTTTTCTTCTTATACCGGTCGAACTCTGCAAAGACTTCGCGCAGTGACCTGCCGCCCATGATGAGGCTTGGCTGCACCCACACTTTCCAGGCAGCAGCAACAGTGGTGGCTTCGGGCCAAGACACAACGACCACGACGAAGAATTCTTCCACGGCAACTGGTGCTTTGGATGCGTCCGTTGCCTGGTTTGCTCCTGTTCCCGCGCTCTTCGACGATCCGTCGATCTCTGCAGAGGTGTTTGCCGCGTCATCCCTGGCCGCAACAGACCTCTTGTATGCTTCGAACTCTGCAATGACCCGAGCCTTGTCCTCTCGCTCAGCGGCGAGTTTCTCCCTCAGTTCAGCGTTCTCCATCGCCAACTGCATTTCACGTCCTCTCAAAATCCCAAGCTCCTCCCTGAGCATATTGGCGGTGAGGTGCATCTTCTGCATCTTCTCTTCTGCGGTCGTGCGAAAGATAGCGTCCTGCAGAAACCAACACGGCAGAACTCAGCATGAACGAATAACTCCCTCTCTCTACCACTAATAGCAGGCACTTACTGCTTTGGCGGTGCTTTGGCCAGTTGCCCGAAGCTTCTCGCCCTGGAAGTGAGAGATAGCGACCAGGTACGCCCACTTTTGGAACAGCGGGTGGTTGCACAAGGGGCTCATCTGCACATATGGATGCCTCTCGCAATTGCACCGCGGGTTTCTCACGCCGTGCTGATGGCAGAACGCCCACATCATAGCCAGATCCTGTGCAACAACGAGGCGTCCGATGCTCGCGAGGGTCTCAAGGAACCTCGCCCCCGCATAGTGCCTCTTCAGCGGATCGGTCTGCGCAGCGTTCCATTCTTCGACCTGACGGGACGAGTATGCAGGAGAAATGCGACGGTTCATAATTGCGTATCAAAATTAAGCTACGAACGCGAAGACTGTACACTAGCACGTACCTTCTTCCAACCCTCTTCGACCCAGGGGAAAATGTGAAGCCTCAAGAGATCCAAGAGCTGCAACCACTCATCCTTCTCCTTATCCTTATGCCGCAGAAGCTTGGCGCGGGCTCTGCCGATGTAGTAGTCTCCACGATCCCCACTGAATCCTGCCAGTAGCCAAACCGGCTGGAACGGAATGCCGAACACATAACACCTCCGCAACTCCCCCTGCGCCCATCCGCCCAGAGTGCCGATATCGTTGTCGGAGCAACCGTCGTCATGGAGTTGTTGCGCTCCGGATCTGTGGAATGCATGTGTCACCTTGCTCAGAATCCATCTCGCCTTCGTCATGGCCCACTTAATCCAGGTGTTATGCGTTTTGTAGTGCATCTCGTCTTGCTTCTGCTTTCCCTGGTCGCCCTTCTTCAAATAAAAGAAGAGGTGCGCTTTAGTCCACAACATCGGTTCAGAAAAGTCGAGAGGCTCGACGATACCGAGGCCGTAGCGCAGAGGAACAAGGTCGTAGATGAAATGAAGCCACAGGAACACATGGCCCATTCCGTAGAGCCGCCAGTCCCTATGCCTTGCAAGAAACTGATGACTCAGCTTGTTGTTGGGGTTGGTCTTCGACTTCCTGGAAACAACGACGAGTACGAAAACGTCCAGATAGTCGTCGAGGTGTGATGTGCTCCGCGTCATGCGGACAAACAGGTTCCCAAGGCGAATCTTTCGAATGCTGCACCCTCTTCCGAGAAATTGGTGTCCGAGGTGCATCATAACCGGGACTTGCAGAGCCTTCCAGAGAGGAAGCGAGATTTGTGACGGAGGCGTCCGCCACCAGATCTCTAGGAGCTCTTTTCGCAGAACAGTAAGATGCAGCGTCCTATACTGGCTTCCCGTATAGCAATCACCAATTGATCCACGGGTTTGATCTCGACCATCCCTGCATAGAATAGCACAGTAATTATGTAAACCATGTAGATCAACATTCACAAAAACAGAAAGCACACGTATATGTTACTCACGAGACTTGCTCGTCGTTCAGATCCTTCAGCTTGACTTTGAGATAATCCTGAGCATCCTTGATCCAGTCCTTGGTCAGTGTCATGGAGAAGCCGTAGAGCCTCGCCTCGCATCTGGCAAGGCATCCCATTGCGTTCATCTTTGCCTTGATCATTGAAGCCGTGCACCCTTTTGCCTCCTTCCCCACATATTTCTCGACGTCTGGCCGCATTTTTCCACGCAAAAACTTTACCTACTCGTCAGTTTCGCAGAAGAGATACTCGATGTATCGGCCGAGCCTCCATTCCGTGACTCGCGTCCCGTGCAGATGAATCTGCCACTCGTCAGAGCTGCACGACCACCCATCATTTCCCAAGTTATTGCTCATATGAAACCCAACCTCGTCGTGCAGAGAGGGAGCCAGCCTATCTGCCACAGGGACATCTACCATCGTTGCCATGAAGATTATCACCCACCACTTGAAGTGTAGAAAGTGGAAACAATAGTGCCTTCTCGTGCCGGCCTCTATCAGTCGAAGCGGGATTGTTGAACGCCGGGTCCTGCTCTCCTTTTCCGCAACGTCGGTCTGCCGCTGCGCATTTCCGGGGGCCGCAGCCTGCTCAACATGGCTCGCAGAATCGGGAGGTCGTCGTCGTCCCGGCGATGATTCTCCCTCCTCTTCTGCGTCAGAGTGATCTCCATCCTCCTCGTACCGTTCTTCGGGCGCACCGGGTCGTGGGCGCACTCCATCGCCTCCCGACCCTTCACTCCCTTCTTCACTCCCCTGGACTTGAATCCGGACGGATGGTTCGTAGAGATCACCCTGAAACAAATCCTCCTCGGTCGCCTCAAACTCGCTATCGTTCTCGTGATCCTGTGCGTAGTCTTGGTCAGTATTTTCATCGTCCTCCAGGTCTTCTTCTCCATCCTCTGCGCCCTGGGCTGCCATGGGGCGAGAGTGGACCGAGCTGTCGGCCATTCACAGATTCCTAATTTATTAGCTAGCAACCGAGACTAGACGAAAGAATCGGATGGTGTCAGCCGCGGTAGGTGGTAACGATTCGCAAGTGTGCAGATAACATAGGCAGAATGCTTAGTGGGCTAAGCGCAGAAGCCGTAAGAGAGTCTGTGCTTCAGACGTATGCACATTGGTCTTCGAACACCGCCTACAACTTGCGTTTACATATATCTGCGCCTACAACTTGCGTATACAGGGTCGCCTGACTGTCCCGTACCGTATAGCTCTGTCACCCTTTGTTCTACCGCTTTAATTCTCTACAACGAAACAACGAAAATAAGTTCCTACCATTATACGGATATAATCATCTACGGAACCCTTATGCTTGTACAAAACTTTTGTGGGTTCGACGATATTATGGATTGGGAGCGAATACTTCTACCGATAAAAAAAGCCTAACGTCGAAGATGTCCGGCTACAAGAGCGGGCGACCTACGACAATTGTTCCGGGCAAATACAAACAGTTCTACCGACAAAATATTCTACCACACACATATGCGCCTACATAAGCGACCTAACAAGTGCGACTGCAGTTATCCTAACCGGGCTGACCCAAAAAAAAAAAACCCACTCTATACGACCTACGTCACTACGTCGAGGATGCCAATGTTCTGCCAGTGGGCCAAGCAGGCTTAAAAGACTACGCTGGTGGACTAACAGGTGTT